AACACAGCCACAGAACAGGATAGGCCTGTGCAGATGTTAGATCTTTCTCCAGGAACTATTCCATATGTAAAACAATTGCAGGGTGGAGAAATTCAATAAACAGCTGGCCTTTGAGATGGCAAAAGACACACTCTCCCTTTTCAAGTTTAATCAGTGGGTCAGATGACCTGGCCTCTACCCTTTCAGCAGAGAAATAACCCGTGTGTGGCTTCCTCATCAGTCCTTGAGAACATCCACAAAAAACCCTCATACACAAATGTACTGCAAACACAAACATGCTTTCAACCTAGATGTTTTCATTTAGACTGTTAAGTCTTGTCAGATAGAAATTCAATCACACTACAGGCTCTCCTTTTTTTTTTTTTTTTTTTAAGGAAAACAGTCTACCAGGACCATTCCCAAGCTGTGGGTCTAGGACTTCAAAGACAGAGGGAGGACTCCCTAATAAGGCACCATAACATCTACAATGCACCAAGCACTGTCTCTGAATGAAAAATAAGTCTAACATATGCACAAGTACTGATATGCTTTCATAAATTAAAAATAAGCCCAATTAAAGGCTTCACTAATTTACCAAATTTTTGTCATTAAGTATATGATTAGTCAAGAGACACAAAGTACAATACTTATATGAGGCTCTGGGAAATTTAGCAGTGGCATTCGTAATCAAAAGGGTTAGAAACCACTAAGCCAGACCATTTAAAGAGCAGCCTCTGCTGTGCTGCACTGACAGCCCTAGAAACCAGGCGCTTTCAGTTAGACCAATAATGAAAGCTCAAAAAAGACTGCCAAAAAGAGGGAAAGTAAAGACAGTTCTATGCAGTAAAGCAATTGGGTCCAGACAACAGGAAGGAAGCCCTTTCAAAGATGTCTATCCTTAAGGAGCAGTCTCGCCTCTGGAAATAATGATTAATAAAGGGACTTTAAAACCCCATTCTATACTGGACCCCAACCCCTCCTCTTCAAGTATGAAGGATACTGAAAAAGGGATGAAGAGAGGAAGACAGAATTTCAGGGCCCCTGTGTACAGCCCTTACAAATATCAATCTAGGTCCCCTTTAATTTTTTAAGTGTTAAAACAACGTTGGGTGGCAATTTTTCTGTTGTCCCAGAATTTCACCTGAGGACAAAGACACAAAGTACCCCACAATCTAAGTTCCGAGAGCATCCTCCCCATCAGGGCTTCCTGGAGACAGGACTGCTAAGCCCTTCCACCACTTCCTCAAAGTCAGAATGAGTCTGAGAAAGGAAGGGGGTGTTGGCCTTAGAGGGCAAACAGTGTTTCAGGTGAGAGACTATTCCCTCCCCAACAGAAAGCCAAGGGCAGGAGGCTCCAAGGGGTTTTGCCACAATGTGAGTTTACTTACTATCACTCTTGGGGGAGGGGGAAAGGGAGAGGAGAGAGAAGCAGGAGTGGGGAGAGGAAAAAGAGAGGAGGGAGAGCTGGGAAGAAGTTAGGAGGTGTTGTATCTCACGACAAGGCCTCATCATCTTCTTCACGCCCAGCAGCTAAGCCAAGCTGGGAGCTATATGCCAAGGAGATCTCAACTGAGTTTGAGACTAAAGGTTTCAACATAAACAAGATCCAATCTTAAATACTACAAGAGATTGTTTTAAAACTGAAGGTGAATAACCCAAGCACCCACTGATGGAAGAATAAACAAACAACATGTGATCTATTCTAACAATGGGATATTATTCAGCCTTTAAAAGGGAGGAAATTGACTGGGCATGGTGGCCCACACCTGTAATCCCCGCACTTTGGGAGGCAGAGGCCAGTGGATCACTTGAGCCCAGGAGTTCAAGACTAGCCTGAGGAAACAGCGAAATCCTGTCTCTACAAAAAATACAAAAATTAGTTGGGCTTGGTGGTGCACGCCTGTAGTCCCAGCTACTCAGGAAGCTGGGTGGGAGGGTGGCTTGAGCCCGGGGCGGGGGTGGCGCAGAGGCTGCAGTGAGCCAAGATCATGCCACTGCACCAGCCAGGGTGACAGCGACACACTGTCTCAAAAAAAGAAAAAAGCAGCAAGGGTGGGGAATTTTGACACATGCTACAACACGGGTGAACCTTGAAGACATTATGCAAAGCAAAACAAGCCAATCACAAAAGGATAAAGACTGTATGATTCCACTTATAGGAGGTACTTAGAGTAGTGAAACCTATAGGACAGAAAGCAGAATGGTGGTTGCCAAGGGCTGGAGGGAGAGGGAATGGAGAATTAGTATTCAATGAGTATACAGTTTCAGTTTTGCAATATGAAAAGAATTCTGGAGATGGATGGTGGTGATGGTTTTACAACAATGTGAGTGTACCTAATACCACTGGACTATACACTTACAAATGGTTAAGACAGTAGATTTTTATGTTATGTGCATTTTATCACAATTTTTTAACAAACTGAAGGTGACAGGAAAGTTATGGAACCAGCCGAATATGGCATTAAGCGATCCACTACCCAAAGGAAAACAAAGATTCCACATAGTGTAGCCTAAAGTAAATGCTGTCAAAAAGTACTGTAAACAGCCCCAAATGACAGTCCCTCATTAAACTGATGACATATCTTCATCCTTCAATGGCTAACCCTCTTCCTCAGCTCTCCTAAGGAAATGGAAGTGTGGGTGAAACCTCTTCCACAAATACCACCCCTGAAGTGATCACTTAATGTCAAAGTTGCTGTGGGAGATGGGGGGTAGGGGGGCCCTCTCTAACTCTTGTTAAAATGGGAAATGACAGGAACTTCTTCTTTTTGCCTTTTCTTTGCCTCACTTTATACCCTCACATATCACCATGTTGGGGAGGGAGAGGTGCAGAGGTACACAATAGAACACACACTTCAAATTGCTTTTAAGTCAGCAGGAAAGACAAAATGTGTAGGTGGGGAAAATGTGTGCATTCATGCTTCAGTGTTCAGAAGCAGGCAATGACAGAAATGGAGTGAAGAGAGTGCTGATATGGGAGGAAAATGACGACTGGGGTCTGAACCACAGGAGTTTGAAAGACAGCACAGAACCAGAGCTCACAGGAAAAATGGGGCTTGAAGGTAACCACTGAGAGTGTCCCTGCAGATGAAAGGCCCTATGAGGATGGGTGCCCACTTCTAAGATACTGAAGAACATAAACCCAGGAAGGAAACAGACGAAGGACAAAGAGATAGAAACAGAATCAGGATAGTATGGTACTTGGCAGAGGGGGAATGCCTTTATTCATTATATTCAACATTTCATATTCAAGAATGTGAGGACAGAAGATGTATGTTTGCTATCCAAAAGATTAAACAGGCCAGGTGCAGTGGCTCAGGCCTGTAATCCCAGCACTTTGGGAGGCCAAGGCAGGTGGATCACAAGGTCAGGAGTTCGAGATCAGCCCAGCCAGCATGGTGAAACCCCGTCTCTACTAAATATACAAAAAAATTAGCCAGTCCAGCCTGGGCAACAGAGTGAGACTCCATCTAAAAAAAAAAAAAAAAGGAAAAGAAAGATTAAATGAAGCCCAGGCCGGGTACAGTGGCTCATGCCTGTAATCCTAGCACTTTGGGAGGCTGAAGCAGGCAGATCACCTGGGGTCAGGAGTTTAAGACCAGCCTGACCAATCTGGTGAAACCTCAACTCTATCAAAAATACAAAAATTAGCTGGCCATGAGGGCAGGCACCTGTAATCGCAGCTACTAGGGAGGCTGAGACAAAAGAGTCGCTTGAACCTGGGAGGCGGAGGCTGCAGTGAGCCAAGGTTGTACCACTGCACTCCAGCCTGGGTGACAGAGTGAGACTCCATTTCAGGAAAAAAAAAAAAAAAAGATTAAATGAAGCCCATTGGGAGTGCCCAGCACATGACTGGACACAGGAAGCTGGAACTCAGGGGAGAGATCTGGGCTGCAGATATAGATAGAGGGGTTGAGAGCAACAGGCAGAGTGAAATCCCAGACTGAAACAGATGACCAGAGATGTGAATGGGGACAGCAGCGGGCTGAAGATGGATCCCTCAAGAATATAAACTGCAGAGGGTGGTAGAGAAGCCCAAAGATATGAGAAAGGAAGAGTCAGGGAAGAATAGGATGATCCACAGCCTTCAGAGTTGCAGAAGTCAAAAAGTGTGGGCTCTGAGGTGGAAGAGTGATGAGCAATGTCAAACACAACAGAGATGTCCAATAAGATGGGGCCTGGAAACTGCTGACTGGATTTGGCAATATTGATGCCCTCAGTGACCCTATCAAGTGCTACTTGAGCAGAATAGTGGTGAGGGAAGCCGGAGAGCTTAAGTAGCAGCTGCAGGAGAAAATAGAAGGCAATGAAGTAAAGAATTAGTATGTAATTCTGTACTCTCAACACATCTGGATGGAAAAGAGGAGACAAATTAGAAAGTAGCCAAGGAGATTTTTAGGAGGAGGAGGCACAGCCAAGTTTATAGATCAGAGAAAGAAAACAAGAGAGAAAGAAATGGAGAAGTTAAAGAAAGGGAAGCAAAGTTCGTGAGGAAGCACAGGTCTTTAGCAAAAGCAAGGACAACTATCCTCTGGAACAGAGGCTAAGGACTGAGGATGGGTGGGAATGCAGATAAAGTCAGCGTAGTTGACGGAAGTCACACCTGATGAAATTTTCCTGATTAAGCAGGATCTAAGCCACCTGCTTAGAATATAGGCACATGGTACATGGGTGGCTTAAAAAGAATGATGAAGGTTGAGTCATCACTGAAGGGAATGGGAGAAAGAGCTGGGGGTGCTAGGGACCACCACTCAGAATAGAGGCCTAGGGTTTGTAGTCGTTTGAGGCGCCCAAAGGGAGAACATGAAACAGAACCAAATTCAGCAGCATGGTCACACGAAAGATTGCACAGAAAGGAGAGGTACATTTTGTAATTAGGAAGTGTCTGGGCAAGAGAGAAGCAGGGGCTGATTATAAAGTTGGTGGTGAGATGCAGATACAAAATGTTTGTCAAGATAGTTGGCTGTAAAGGGGAGAAAGAAATAGGATGGTAGCTAAGGATATTACAATCAGGTGAAGAATTTTTTTTTTTTTTCTGTCTTAAAATCACCACAGGAGAAGCAGCCAAAGGAGAGCAAGGGACTAAACAAAGTGTGGTCAGACCAGGTAAATGAACATGCAAGAATGTGTTAAGAGGCCAGAGAGGATGGATCCACCCGGGAAAACGGGTAGCTTCTGTAGGAAGAGAGGTTCCCTGGCAGCCAGGAGAAAGGAAGAAAAGAGATGGCCACCCTGAGGGACTGCGGGCACATAAAGATGGCAGATCTTGCAGGATTTTCTCAGCGGAGTAAGAGAAAGAGAATGTGAGTGGGAAAAAAAGTGAGAAGGGGCATTCAGGTGTAAAAGTTTTGCTGAGAAACCAACACAAGAAGATTGCTTCCATTTTTGGTAAGTATCTGCTTAATACCAAGAATTTATATGCCATGGGTCCAGACAGCACCATCCAATCATCTGTGAGATGACTGCTCAGGTCAGGCATTGGCACAGCAGGCATGAAGGAAGATTAAAGGGTCAAGTGACCCCTGGGCATCACTGAGTTAGCACTGCAGGGATGACCCCACAGTCTGGGCTAGAGAGAGCACTGAGTAGATAAGTAGGAGCTTATGGTTCAGATAAATTAGCAGGGGCCAGGTTCAGGTCATATGGGTTTTATTGAAGTAACATAAGGATGGAGTCATAGAAAAGCAATCTATGTTTGAAATCCAATTTGGGTCTTTTTGTTTATTTTCTCTATTTTCATTTTTCTACTTGTCTTTTTAAAAATTTTCCATGTTTGTACTTAACATATGGAATATAGTTATAACAGTTTTAATGTCCTTATCTGCTAATTGTAACATCTGCGTTAGTTCTGGGTCAGTTTTGATTGCTTGATTTGCTCCCATTATGGGTTGTACTTTCTTGCTTCTTTGTACATCTGGTAATTTTTGCTTGGATGCCGGACATTGTGGTTTTTGCCTATTGAGTGATAGTGTTGTATTTCTATAAAATCAGCTTTAATCTTGGACACAGTTAAGTTGGTTGGAAATAGTTCCGCCCTATCAGATCTTGCTTTTTAGATTTAAAGCCAAGCTCAGTTGAGTTAGCTAGTCCCCACTAAGGAGGCAAGGCCCTTCTATGTACTCTACTCTACCCAATGCTCCATGACTCTTGAAGTCTTCCAGTCTGGTTGGTGGCAGAAGCACTATTCCTGGCCCCATGTGACCACTAGAAACAGTTATCTTTGCTCCTTTTGAATGGTGCTTTCCCCAGACTCAGGCAGCTTCTTTACACTGATCGGTTCTCAGAACTTTGTAAATCTCCAGAGTTATCTCTTGGTGCAGCTGTCTCTTCTCTAGTACTGTATCCCATGATCTCCAGTGGCCTTAGTCTCTCTGGACTCTCAGATCCATGTCTTCAACTCAGGGAGTCTGGTGGGCTCCACATGGTTCCCTTTTCCTGTACTATGGCTTGGAAACTCTTTTAAGTCAGTTTGAAAAAACTCATAGGTCTCACCTCATTTGTTTTCTCTCTCTCAGGAATCACTGGCCTTTGTTGTCTGATGTATCTAGTGTCTTACAAATCATTGTTTCATTTATTTTGTCTGTATTTCGTTTTTCACATGGGAAGACAAATCCAATACTTATTTCAGCATCTTGGCCAAAAGTCAAGTCTCCCTATAGATTTTAAACTGAAAAATCCGAACTATCCCATCTGTTTAAGGCCTAATAAATACACGTGTGGCTGACTGGAATAGGTGTCCTCAAGTGTTAGGTGCCTGCCCTGTCCACTCTTTTATGCGAAGAGTTACCCTATGTCACGCCATAATCATCCATTGACACCATTCCTATGTTGGTCACTGAGGACAAGGGACTGGGACATGAACCAAAGAGGCATGTAAAGGATGGGCATGAAGGTGGTGTCCTCTGAGGTGGCTCAAAGGTCTGCACAGTGAAGACAGCCTCTGTTGGACAGGATGGTCTCTTGGAAGTTGCCGGGGCTCAATCCTTGCTGAGTTCTGATGCACTTTCCCCAGAGGCCCACTGCATACCCAGGCTTGGAAGTCCTGACATTCAAATGACTGAAGGCGTAAAGAAAAGACAGCATCCACGACATCTCATACTTTCTGTCCCTTTGCAATCATCCTCATTTTCAAAATTCATCTGTGCACAGCTCTTCCTGGCAGGCTTCATGAGCCCAAGCGATACAGCTGTTGACATGGTTTGGAATTAGCCAGGCACACTGGTCAGTGTTGATAGTGAAAGGTGATCATAACAGTAGGAAATGTGACCAACCAAGGGACCTGGCCGTGATGGCTATGTTTATGTGTAGCTACCACAACAGGGATAGAGGTCGGGTGCGTTGCCTACAGGTAACGCTTATCTTTGAAATTAGAAGATAAGGAAAGCTTATCTTGGGAGAGAGGAAAAGTGCATCCAATAATATGCTGGGTACTGCAGAAGGGGTAATTTAGCCACACCAGTGCTCTTTGCCTCACTCCATGGGCCACAATTGGTGCTGGAAGCAAGAAGCAAATACACAGTTAAGACTCCATTCACCAGGATCACCCCAACACCCCTAGAATCTAGGGCCTAGAGAAAAAGAGCCATTAACAGGATGAAACCTGTCAGACTACCCAGAAGCAGCTGAGCCTAGCAACAGCCCATCAGATTTATATTACCCTACAGGCAGGCAGCATGGAGCAGAGTAAAAAGATTAACCAAAATCCACTCAAGTTAATCAACTGTTTGTCAACACATGTTCCCATTTCACATGCAATGACATTGTAATTTTACCTTCAAAACACATAAGAGATATTTTAATTAATAATCAAATACTAGATTTAAAGTGGATTTAACATATCACCATTTTTAAGAACGGAGTGGTGGTGAAGTCCTAAGGGAAACAATCTAACGAGCAAACAAAACATGCTTACGGACTCAAGAGATGCCATCTGGTCATTCAAAGACAACCAAGCCAGTACAATTAAAACCGTAACAGTCAACACACACTTTAACTTATAACTGAGAAGCTAATTTAATAAACTAAGGCGAATATTTGGGAAAAGGCCAAATGTTGTGAAAATACACAGAGTGAACCAACTCAATTTATTGGTGAATAAATAAAACAAACAACCACAGCCACTCCAAGTTGATAGGCAGCATTTGATCAGGTCATGAGGCTGGTGACCAAACCTAACAAGCTCCTAGTAACAGGAGGAAAAGGCAGATGACAGGGGCCAACGCTGCCTGACAATGTACAATGCTGGCCCTGGCACTTACCATTCAATCTCTAGAGATAAGAAATTAATAACAAGTAGCATATACAATCTGCTTTTAAAACATTTCTTTTTCCTGGGACCTAGAAACACCTTATAAACATTAACTCATTTTTTTTTTTTTTGAGACAGGGTCTCACTCTGTCACTCAGGTTGGAGCACAGTGCCACAATCATGGCTCACTGCAGCCTCAAACCTCAGGGTTCAGGCAATCCTCCTGCCTCCCAAGTAACTGAGAATACAGGGGCACACCACACACCACCATGCCTGGATATATATATATATATAAATTTTTTTTTTTTGGTGGAAATGGCTGGCATCTCACTATGTTGCCCAGGCTGGTCTTGAACTCCTGGGCTCAAGCAATCCTCTTGCCTCAGCCTCCCAGAGTATTGGGATGACAGGTGTGAGCCACTACCACTCATTTATCTTAACAGAACTACAGGGAGAAGGTTCTCATTGCATTTCTATATCTGTACTAAAAGAATCAGCCAGAGTAGGGATGGGTTTCAAACATATCCCAAAGAGCAATTCCTTGAACCCATGGGTGGGTCGGGCTATACTGGAGAGTAGAACTCCTGATCTGTGTTCTGCTATCTACCAGCATTCCCATGGAGCACCCGTGGCAGTGTGCATGCCCATGAACAGGGCTGTCTACGCCCACAGCCACCACCCCCATGGCACAGTTGGTCTTCGCCAGGAGAGGCAATGCGGCGACATCAATTAGCTGGACCCTCAAGGAGTGGCTTGGGAAAAGGTATGACATTGGCTCTGGTGGGCGGATTCAGAAATAGGCCAACATATTCCCTGTGGCCCAGTGAACAGGAAACTGACAAAGCAGCACACACTCTCCTCAGAGTTAGTGAATCCCTCCCACACCTTCCCCACCCAGCCCTGGAATTCTCTCTTACCCACAGCTTTATGGATGATAGCTCCTACAAAAGGCATCTAGAAACACAGACCTGTAAGTACATGACACCCTCCTAGAATATGACATCTATTCAGTGACGTTCAATAGCTGTCTCGGATTTTTGAAGCAGTGGCTGAGAAAGGGGGCTTCTGTAATCACATTTTTCCAGTATCTTTTAGATGATTCACCACCAAGTACATGGAAGAAAATGGGGCACCAATTTCCTTCCCGAGTGGGTGGGAACATAGTCTGCATCAGGTCCTAATGCTATACTTTCTGGGAGTGTGCTTGTGTGTATAAGCTCATGTAACCTTCACAGCAACCCTGGGTGTAGGTATCATTAGCCCCTTGTTTTACACATAAGGCAACCACTGCTTAAGGTCATGCAGCAAGGAAGGACAGGCAGCAGAACCAGGTCCATCTGATACAAAACTGATGGTCCTCCCCTACCCACGCCTCTATCTCCAGCACAGCTACAGATTCCCAACAGCAATTCCCAGGAAATTTTGACTGTAAGGACTAACACTGACACCAGAAATTAACTTTTGGGGGGCATTCAGGGAACTGCAGGCATCATTAAAAGTAGACCTATTACCTGAAAGTAGGCTAATCTTCTGATCCAAACAAATTGAAAAAATGAAGAGATTTCTCTCTCCACCATGCCCCCGAAAGCTCCCCAAAGCAGTGAGACTCTGTACTACCCAAAACCTAGAGTGGGAGTGCCACTGAGTAGGATGGGATGCTGAACAGTGCAAGAGAGACACCTGTACGGTATTCCACAAAGGGAAAGTATTTTCAATTTTGACTCCAGTAAAGAAGTGATCTTTCTCACTAAAACATGTTTCCAAGTCCCCCCCCAAGGCACTGTACACTGCCCAGTAACCACATGGGACAAATGCTCAGATTCAGGATTGCAAACTGAGGCCAGAAAAGGAGGCAAAGAGGTGTGAAGTCAGAGGAAATTCAGACAACAGGAGATGTGGGACACTGGAGAACCCTGCCCTGTCTGAAGAGTTCAAGTTGGAAAACCTCAAAAGCATTATTCTATGCTGCATACAAAGCAAAACTGGTCTGCAGGCTGATTTCAGCCTATGGGCAGTCTGTAATCCCTGGTTAGAGAAAGACAGAGGCACAGACAGACAGACAGACACAGCCAGCATGCAGTCGATATTCTGCATATTGAACAAAAGGTTCTATAAAGGCTGTACTTAAGCATGACCTTCAAGCATTCAGAAAGGCTAAGACCAAGCATGTAAGAATTAAAAGTCTCAAATGAGGACATCCAACACCTGAGCAAGAGGCATGGAAAAAGTAACAGCTCCCAGACACATTTGAGCAGGGCCCTGAAGCTGTTCCTTTCACACTCTGGCTGAGTGTCCCCACCAGTGAGGCTGAGTGTCCCCACCAGTGAGGCTGAGTGTCCTCACTGAGGAGGGGCTGGAAGGGGACAGCAGAGTCTTACTGAATTGCCATTCCTTAATATGTTTAACAAAATCAATACGGTTCCCTCCCAGAGTTAAGCTTCGGTCTTTGTCGATGAATTCCTTCTGAAGTCCTACGTTAGAGCCCCTCCAAGCATTGTTATGTTCTCCTGTGCCTGGGTGGATCCCAAGGAACCTTTAGATAAGATGGTGGTATTAGACATGCGATCCCGCCTTCAGAATGGTAGGGTATTTGGACTTACATATAAGAGCTACTATACCTTTCATAATAAATGCATTATTCATTTTACAGAGACACCTGAACTCATCATCTGAGTATTAATTACTAAAATCCCTATAATCTTAAGATTTAGATAGGTAAACTAAATGGTCAGAGCATGAGAATAGTCTCTGATGAACAGAATGACCACTTTTAAATGAGTCCCTACTCTAACACCCCTCCTTGCTTAAAACTACCCTATTCCTGCCCACCATGTAAAGGGTGGTTGTTCTCCCTTTCTGAGTAGCAGATACATCCCATAGTACAAACTGTGCCATAAACATCAGCCCCAGATCAAAAAGTGAGATCTTGTAGTGGATGCAGAAGGTCATGAAATTGACTAATACACTGCTCCAATCACAGCAAACCCCTGACAGAGTAAATCTCGGATGTCGAGTTCATCACCAACAAAGAGGAGACCAACTCTGGTGGAGTCATGCCTGTCTACTGGAAAAACTGATGAAATCTTCAAATCTTTTTGCAAAAATAACCCTGCTCGGCACAATGCTGAGAAAGTCAGCATGAAGTGGAAGCTGTTATCATGCTTTCAAATCAGTCAGAGAAACACACACTGAGTTATGTGATCCATTCTTGGTTCTAAGAATTAGCACACAGGTGCCACTGGAACACAAACACTGATAAATATAAGATGAATGAAATTTCCTTTCACAATTGTTGTCATTTTAAGAACAGTATTAATCAAATCTTTTTAAAGATATACACTATGAAAAAAATTGTGGCTCCCATTTTAACTGGAACCACTTTCAATTGCCTTTTCCTGGTCTCAGTTACCCCACGAAAAAGGAAATGCCTGTAACTTGTCTCCAGTCTAACTGTTGATGGGCGGCAAAGCCAACATTCCCATCCTGATTTTATCACTTTCAAGCCTGGCTTGAGTCTCCACATTAGCACTGAGTGTTTGCAGACATTAACAAGGCCTGTAGCTGCTGAGTCTCATGTGCCCCCCTAACAATGCAAAAACTGTAACCTGACCCTTGTTACAGCATTTCAAAAGGTTCTTAAAATAATACATTTGGGGTTTTTGTCAACTCTTAAAAGACTACTCCAAAGCAATACACTCCCCTACACATTTTTTTTCCTATGTGTGTTTTTCAACTAGCAAATCTCCCAGCCACCAAAACTTTAACCAAATTAGGTATAATTTAGGACACAACAGGGGTATCCAAATTGGCCAACCACTGGAATCAGCCAAGGTGCTTATCTGAATCCTGTTTCCTTGGCCTCTTCCCCAGAGATTCTCATTCAGACTGGGTCCTGAGAATCTGTATTTTTCAAAATTCTCAAATAATTCCATTGCTTTAAAACAGATCCTCTTGGCATTTCATATTTTTTGAAGGTCCTATTCTCAGTACTTGGTAAATCCCAAATCTTAGGACTCATATAATGGAAGCATCCACATTTACATGAAACAAGAAGTATCATCAAAATTCAGTAAGAATTAACCTTCCAAAAGCTATATACTAAGTCCCTATAAGGTACCCAGAATGGGCTCCAACCTACTTACCTCTCCAGTTATTTAGTAGAGATGTATCACTAACACTTATTAAAACTCCTCAACAAATGATAGTTCACCACAAGTTCAAGAACAGAAGATCTGGCCAGGCATGG